TCATAATCACTCTCACATAGCTCTGATTGGCAAGGAAGGAATTACATATGGTGTCCATTTAGGTTCAGAGACCTGAGATTGTCTATCCGCATTTTGCAAAACAAAAGAGCAATAGTATGGTATACGTGGAATCTAAAGGGTTCTAACGACGGTGTACAATACTCAAAATTACTGTTTTCGGACTTTGTTCGTCGTCCAGTATTCTAGAAACCAGAAAACACAACGCTTCGGAAACTGGATCTGTTTTCGTTCTCAGGTGAAAGGGGGCAGACACCTACTCTGTTGGGTCCCTTAGAAGGAGCTAACATCAATCACTGGACAACCCGTCAGATTCAATACAGATATTAAATTACCTGAGACCAGGCTAATTGGGAGGGAGATAACAGGGAATATATAAAAATTGTGATACAGCACGCACATTCATAGAACTAGAATAGAAAGGGAGGTAGAAATTTATGCTACAAACCTGCTCAACAAAACCAAGTGCACGAGCATGAATGCACAGAAAAACTGGACAATTTATGAAGACATGTAGTGACTACCGTTAGCGCCATCCGTGGAGTAAAACCTGAACACTCCAGACTAAAACCTTATAGAAACTCACGAAGAATCTCTCACGTCATACAGATTTTCTCTGTGACTTGGTTAACCTCACTGCTGATAAAGGAGATCCAGATGGGAGAAATGTCCAAAACTGGACTGGCTGATCGGATTGATTAAGCATGCCATTTTGGCCGATTCCTTGTATTTTCTACACTTACTGTTACTTTCAATTTCCAAAATCCTAGCTTCATCCCAGCCTACTCTATGATTTTCTGCATAGGCATTTTGGGATAATTTTGATTTTTCTAGAGGACCCTCTTCGAGATTATGCCTATGTTCACGGAGTCGCATAGCTAGAGCTTTCGCCAATGTAGTTTCTGCCACATTCACAGGGAATGCTATAAACGCTCTGTGCCGCCTGTTGAGGATCCCTTTCCCGTTTGGTTTTCATGAGTGAACTCCTAAGAGTGTGTTCAGTTTTGAAGATCGTCCTAACGTCATATCGATTCCGTATACGTTTGAACTTCTCTGAAACACCCTTCGCATATGGGATATACACAAAGATCAGAGGTAAAGAAAGGTAACGAAAATTCGATTATCTTAGAAGTATGAAATTTCTTGGTCACCCGTGTTACTGCTGTCTTTTCAAGGAAGAATGTGAAAGTTAATGCTTTTGGAGGAACTGTTGATAGCTTGGTAAGAATATCTGTCGGGATTCTACGTGGGAACTTCCTGATGCGAGACAGACATGAATCCAAATTGATGTTCGTGTTTCTGGAGAAGATCAGAAACGCCTTGGGTTGCTATTATATCTTGGTATGTGGTCTGTGCAGTGAAGATCTACCACAATCAATACCAATCAAACCGAATTACTTCAACATACTTGAGTAACTCGATATGGAAGACAACTTGTCCCATACTGTAGTTTCTCAAGAAGAGTTAAGACACTACTGCGCAGCCTCAGTTGAGCTAATTTGTGAAGGCGGAGGAATTATGCAAGTAATTGACTCCACTCTCGGCGAGAGTTTCGTGACCTTAGGTTACGCCCACTTCCTAGTAGCATATAATTTCACGCCAGTGTCTGACCTCACTTCCCAGCTGCAGGCTACCACTTTACGATCCCCGCTCCCTTTTCCTTCGCCGCCTTCCACCTTCTGAGCCACATTTTCTTATAGTAGATACATTTTTACGATTTCCGCAAAATTTGGACTTCATTCGGCCTCCTGTATACCTCACCCATATACAATGTTCACGGAAGCTTTTCAAAGAATATGGAATTCTTTAGCACTTCCTCTACGTGTAACCAATATAAAATGTTCACGGAAGTTTTCCGTAACATGCGGATTTCTTTGGTGCTTCCTGTACGTCTTTCCAATATAACATGCAAACGGAAGTTTTACACAGAACATGGGCTCTTTGGCCCTTCTTGTATGTCTCGTCTGAGTAAACTTCCCACAGAATATAGACTTTTTTACTTCAGCCTTTCCCACTAATATGTACGAAACATTCATGGAAGCCAAGACTCGTTCTGTTGTACTAATTAACTCCAAGGAGGAGAGTGTTTCCGGATAAGTCGTCCAGCTGGTCAAGAATTTCCGCGACTTCTATGGAACATGAAGACCGATTTCTGTATCCTCAAGAGTCCACCCCTGTATCGTATCCAACCTGCACCCTCAAAGCTGGAGAGAGAACGTGATGTTGGGCTAAACTATGATACAGAAATATTTCGTACACAACATCTGCAGATCCGTTTCGATTCCACTATAAAACGTTCACTCACTCACTCATGGAGCTGAACCCTTCTTGAGAAGCCAGTAATTGTAAAGCCACTCAAGAATTTTTCAGCATTTTATGGACTTAACCATCCTATACACAGATGGAAGTACCATCTCTATATAGGACCGAGAAACTGAAAAAGCGACCAAGGCCCAACAAAGGGCTGTAGAGCCATTAAACTCGTAATAATATACTGAGAGAGTTTTTCTTAAATATGACTTAGCTGTTCACAGACATGTGAGTTCAAACAGCCGTCTAGGTACTGAGTTGCCATGTTACCTATCAAATGTCCCGTTCGATTATCATACTGGTTTCAGATAACAGCTGTCGACACGTCATACGGACATACGTATAAGTGCATATTTTGAAAAGGGACGAAACCTTGCAAATATGAATGAGTTATGTTGGACTTGACGCTCTCACAGCAATGGTTATGAAGAGTCCTAACTTCTGGGATATAACGCCTTGTAGTCCGTTGAAAGTCAAACTACGTTGCTGCCTGTTTCACACTGGTTTCTTGCTTGGCTTACTCTTCGACCCGGAAGATGGAGACGACCTGTTCTTCTGAAACGTCGGTTGATTTTCAGCAGACTACATGGTGAAAGGTCCCAGAAGGTAGGACTCTTCATAAAGTGAGTCACGCTCGACGACAAATACTAACTACAGTTCACACATCCACACATCAAAACGTTAACTCACGGATTGGATAAAAAACCCTGAAATAGAAAGACTGATTGACTGATCGCTCGTTCCCGACTACTTAANAAATTTTATAGATTTCATTGATTTACTACTACACTACAGCGTGTGTTATTTTAGCGCATACGACTACGACTATGACGTTTTGAATTATGAAGCGTGCAGTCGCATATGCGACGAATGGATAACATTAGTGCAGTGTAGTAGTTTTAGCATAATAAGACACTTGAAGATGGCTATTTAAGGCCGAAACACGTTGTGTCGAAAGTGAAAGTGTATGTGAATGAAAGAAGGAACAATTTGTTTCATTGCTGACGGACTGTGTAGGACAATAACTCAGGCTGTAATTCTATGGCATCTTATGATATGAAGTTTACTGAGTAACGTATTTGAGGGTACGACTATGTGGTCGTTAAGACCCATGGCCAATTTTAGGTACTATTCTAGCATGCCCTGGAGGGACTGGGGGAAATCCTAAAACTCCAGTCAGGGTAATCTGTGTCCCGCCCGGGGTTCGAACCGAACAGCTGCCGCTTGAGCCAACTTGTCCGATGTAATGTGTTCACATTATACACACTTCACGTGACTCGGAGCAATAGACGCAATTGAACGTGCTTCGAATAGGTTTGGAAAAGGTAAGAGAGACATGAGACATTTGTTTAGTGTGCCTGAGGAACACTTTGAACCGAGCAGTCCCTATGGGTCATGAGTAAATAACAGATTTACGCCTACAAGACACGCATGAGTGACCAAGTTCAGTTTTAAAGAGAAACATGTTGAAGTGAGACGGAGCCGAGGAACAGGTGCGCTCTAGTAGTCACGAATGTCCACAATACGAGATGTCGCAGTAGACAAGTTCGGTGGAGGACGAGGAAATGTGGGTGGATTGGCGTGACGTGACTACCGATACTGCTGACGTAGTGCACGGAACAAGAAAGCACAAGTGAATGAACCTAACGTCACAAGGTTGATTACGGCATCAACATTCAAGGTCGAATTAAATTATTTATAACGCACCAGGTTTCTAGCAGATCTTCCCAAATGTAGTGGCCTAGACATGTATCTTTCATATCCCAAAACACGTAGTTATCACGAATCCAAACATGAAGGTTAGCCGCGGATATGTTAAATAAGCAGTCGCGGACAGACGCCCGGATGTGGTTCTCCAGCCTGTGGTACGGGCGGGGAGTTAGCAACTAGAAATTTACAAATGTTTTGCACGCCCTGTGACTCGGGAACTTTCCTTGGTTGATGATCAGGAAAAATGGAGAGAGACTGGGAGAAAGTGGGGCGGATGGGAGGATATTAACATGGAAATAGGGAATGAGAATGTCAACTGAATGTATCTTGCTTCTGATAGGTTCTTCCAGTGGCGGCCTCTTGTGCAAAAGACTGTGAACTTTTGATGAGCTGAACGACTATTAGCTTCTCAGAAAGGTCAATGAATAATTTAGGTGAGACGACCGCAAAAGAGCCGTTTTTTTAAGGCCAGATACACCAACTTAGCATCCTATGTATATTTATACCTACATCCACTGGTCAATCAATTCGGTATACTGCATATGCAGAGTGTAGAGTACATGCCAACACAATAAGCCACTTCTTACTATTTCGCCCAGAACCTATGGAGAAATCAGAAATAAGACACGAAGTTTCGGTATAGGCTTTTTTTAGTCTCTTGGGGTGAGGTAAGACTGAGTTCACTTGGTACGTCGGCCATCAGCTGGCCTATTGTACAAGCCCCGGATGATAGATGAGTGTGGAGCATTTGTGGAATGATAATTTGCAGGGAAAACCGAGGTAATCAGAGAAAAGCTGCCTCAATGCCACTTCGTCCACCACAAATCTCACATGACCCGACCTGGGCTAGAACCCGGGCCGCCTCGAAGGGAAGCCGGAGACTAACAGCCGAGCTATAGCACGGCCGAGTCTCGGTATAACTAAGCTTCTAAAACTGCAGAATTTTTCATTGATGTACTCACGGTTTACGCCTCCGTTAGTTAAGAAGAAAAGTGGATTTACCTGAAAGAAGAGAAAGAATTATAAGTACAGTCAAAACGTTTTTTACAGACCGAAGAGTTCAGCAGTAACTCATCAGCGAACACAAATATGTTTCTGGACATTATTCATCGTCCTATTTATAGACAGACAAAAACAAGACGATGGATAATGTCAGAAACATATTTGTACAAATGTATTGTCGTCACATGTGCTTTTACATCATGTCTTGTTCGTTGTACCTTAGTGGCCGAACGTCAAGTTCAGCGACATAAGAACATCAGGTTCATAATACTCCGTCAATACTCGCTGAACAAAATAAAGAGTAAAACTGTGTACAGTAGAACAACATTGAAATATTGTGTAACACTCACTTATGGAGCTGAGGCATTCTTGAAAAGTTGCCAATTGTGCAGCTACTCAAGAAATTTCCAGCATTTTATGGAATCCGAAAGTTTATTACTGAGTTCACAAGAGCCCTCACTGGTCCTTACCCTGAGCCAGATCGCTCCAGTCCATACCATCCCATTCTATCTCTCTAAGATCCATTTTAATATTGTCCACCCACCTACGTATTGGCCTTCCCAGTGCTGTTCCTTCTGGCGTTCCCACCATTACTCTATACGCATTCCTCTTCTCTCCATTCGTGCTACATGCCTTGACCATCTCATAATCCTTGACTTGATCACTCTAATTATACTTGGAGAAAAGTACAAGTTATGAAGCTCCCCATTATGTAGTGTTCTCCAAACTTCCATCACTTCATCTCTCCTCGGTCCAAATATTCTCCTCAGCACCCTGTCCTCAAACACAGTCAGTCCCTATTCCTCTCTTAATGTCAGAGACCAAGTTTCACACCCATATAGAATCGCAGGCAAAAATTATAGTTTCGTATATTCTAATTTTTATGTTTTTAGACAGCAGACGAGAAGACAAACGGTCCTGGACTAAATGGTAGCAAGCATTACCCAAATTCAATCTCCTCTTAATTTCCACCTGAATCAGGGTTTGATTTGTTATAGTCGTTCCCAAATATCTGAACTGTGCCACATTTTCAACACATCTGTTACCTATCTTTATGTCATGATTTTACCCTGCATTCCGGTGACAAGACAGCAACATGTACTTAGTTTTCTCTGTGTTTGCTTCTAGACCAACCTCCTTACTAGCCTCAATTAAAGTTTCTGTAATTTTCTTTATGGTATCTATATTATCGCCCAGTAGATTCACATCATCGGCATAGACCAACAGCTTATCTGTCCCATTTAATTTCAGTCCCACCTGGTTTCCGTGGACCTTCCTAATTTCTAAAGCAAGGTTGAAAAGCAGTGGCGATAAAGCATCTCCTTGTTTCAGACCATTCTGGATAGTAAATTTATCAGACAAATGTCCACCTATACTGATTTTAATGTACGTTTAATTTAAATACATTTTAATCAGCCTAACTAGTTTCATGGTTACAAAAAATTCTACGAGAACATTGTACAATAATTCCCTAACTGAATCATAGTCTTTCTTGAAGTCTACGAATAGCTGATGTATTGTCTAATTGGAAGACCATTTCTTCTCCATTATCTGACGAATGCAAAAGATCTGATCTGTAGTTGATCTGTTACATCTAAACCCACACTGATGATCCCCAATAATTTCATCTATATATGGACTTAACCTTGAGAGAAGAATATTTGATAAAATTCTGTATGAAGTTGATAGCAGTGACATCCCACGATAATTACTACACTCCGTTTTATCATCCTTCTTGTGAACTGGTACAATTATAGACTCCTTCCACTGAGCAGGCAATTGTTCCTTATTCCAAATGGAATTAATTAGCTTATGGAACTTAAAACGTAATATTTCAACTCCTGCTTGAAATAATTCTGCAGGAATTACTGTGTGACACTACATAAATAAAACTCTTGGGCATCATCCGTTATGGATCTCTACGCTAAACTCTCATCAAATCTCCTTCCTCTTCTGACATCGAAGATTATTCTTGCTATCTCCGTTACTCTAGTTTCCCCTTTCAATCGCAGACGTCTATCATCACGTGGAATTCACCGAAATAAAGGCCTACGTAGAGGAACAGAACACGCTCACGTGCTGTAACGAGTAGATTCCTCTGTTCTGAATTAGTACATCACGAAACATCCCACATCATGGAATATAAATATGTTATGCTCAAGGCTCCGTTTCTGCTAGCGTTTGTGGTGCACTTGAGATAACTGCTGAATTAAATGGAGCTGTTTCCACGCAGTCATTCGGTTGATCAATGGTTCGCTAATACCCGCCACAAACGCACGTGGGAGAGGAGCCTAAGGGTGGCGGCAGGCTAACAGAATGGAATCCTATCAAGTCGAATCCAATGTTACTCATTCGACTCTTACAGTGTGACAGATATACGGTATGCAAGACAAATTAGTCTGATTTTGGGGCTTCTTAGTGAGTCAGATTATAGTGTACAAGCAGCCTAATGCAATGCCCATACAATCTTTGCACGTCCGAGGTTTGAGTTAGGGTAGAGGCGTCTTCTATCTTCTCCGTGATATCCTGGTCCTACCCATGACCTATGTAGCTCATCGGGATTCCGACAGACGGATTTTGGGACAGGTACTTGAAGCAGGTCATGAAGTCATGGCCGAAATATTCCAGGCACTGAGAATCTAAAGTTGAAGTTACGTAGAGAAGTAAGCCAGCATAGCAGGAAACGGATTATTCAAATCTCGATTATCCGAATTGCCAATTAATCAAATAACCGCATTCAAGGAATACGTTTAATAAACAAACATAATTCTTGGGCTTGTTCAATTAAAAATATTGAAAACGTTAATTTATAATTATATTTATTAATTCTTATGTTTCATCTGTTTGTAATTTTTATTATTATGATATTAGAGTATATTATAATAGTGTTGTCCAGACTGACTCTGGGGACCACCCAACCACCTACGCAATTAGTACCGGCGGATCTTTTCCCGGGGGTAAAGCGACAGAAGCGTGAAGCTGACCACTCTCTTCTATCTATTGTCGAGGACAAGAAAGCTATGCCCCACTCTCACATATGATTTCACGGCATAATGTTTAATGAAATAAGCATAGGGACAACTTTACCTTTATAACAGTGTTTTTTCGTGGATACGAATTTAATCTAATTACCCGAATTTTCGATTGTTCGGACCGCGTTTGTCACTAATTAATTTGGATAGTCGACATTCTACTGTATATGTAATTATTATTAATTTACTTTTTTTCTAAACATCTATGTCTTCCTTGGTTCAGAACGGGATAACGGCAATAAATGTATCAAGGAGCACTGTGTATGGTGGAACTGATAAATGATGAAAGAACAAAGACATCTGATTTATAATCTACGAGTTATATTTATCATACTAAAGAAAGTGCCCGTTCTTCACCTGGATTCTTAAAATGATCTTCATTGAAATCATGAAACTGCTAATTTATTACGATAATATTGTGACTGGACAGAGGGGAGACAAGAAGTGTGCAGATTGGAAGAGGAGTTCGACAAGGATGCTGTTTATCACCAATTCTGTTCAACTTGTACAGCGAATGCCTTACCAAGGAAGCTCTGGATGGGCTCGGAGACTTCAAAGTAGGAGGGCAAATTATTCAAACTGTGAAGTATGCAGATGACCTTGTGTTAATGGCTAAGGAAGAAACTGTGCTACAGGGCATGATTGATAGACTAATAGAAATTGGAAGGTGTTATGGCATGGAAATGAATGTGGAGAAAACAAAAGTAATGAAAATTTCGAGACAACCAACCCCAGTCACAATAAAGATAGACCAAAAACAACTGGAAAATGTGAAATGTTTTAAATATTTGGGTAGCTTGTTAACAAATGATGGAAGGTGTACTAGTGAAATTAAATCCAGGATTGCCATGGCAAAAGCTGCATTTAGCAAGAAGAAGAATCTTTTTACCAGCAAATTGGACTTAAATTTGAGGAAGAAACTAGTGAAATGCTACATTTGGAGCATAGCTCTGTATGGGGCTGAAACATGGACACTTAGGNTTATAACACCGCTTTGTACTTAAGCTCTCGGCTCATACTTGTAAGTTAGTGTACTGCAAGAAACAAACGTCGAATTATTATTATTAAGAAAGCCGTCTTCTGGGATGTGGCGCCGTGTAGATATTGTACTCGTATTAACCGACGTTTCTGAGGAACGTATCGCCTCCATCTTCCATATTCAAGTTTATCGTGGTTCTGTACTTTGCCCTGTGCTTGACGCTCTTCTGCTGCTAATGTTGTCTGTAGGGGTGTTGACGTCTTTAGACCAAGAACTCTGTTGATGAAACATATCTTATACTGAACTAATTAAACTATTATTATTATCGTTATTTTTATTAATTTCGTTATAATTATTATTATTATTATTATTATTGTATGCTGCTCTATTTGAAACTCAGATTCTCACATTTGGCTTTGTCTGTGTATGTCTGCTTCTGTATCTTTATTCATGCTAACTGTGCAATTAATATAGACTATCATTTTTGTATTTTCTTTTTTAATTATTTTTGTGTATTTCTCTATTCGTACTAGCGTAGTAATTGGTCTCTGCACTAAGTTTGCATGTAAATAAACACGAATTGAATTGAATTATTATTATTAGCCTTGCGGCTGTTGTCTCAGCACATAAATAATAAAGAATTGAATTATTATGTAATCAGTAAATTAAGTTTCGAAGAAGAGGACATCACATATTTGGTTCTAAACTTACCATTAACTGCCGCAACGCCGCTGCTTTACGGACTGAACGGTTGCCTAGCAACAAAATAAGGTGGGCTGTGGATCCCTTTATACTGATGATATCCCAGCACACACAAGCGGACAGCAAAAAGAACGTGCAGGAAGAAGGATTTTATATAATAACATAAACAAGCAAGGGTGAAGATACTGTAATTTGAAGAAAGGGCGTGATTAGTGGGCTAACTAACATTCCTTTTCAAGAAACAACAGTGTAATAAAAATATACTCAGTAAATTACTATGATGACT